ATGTTGAGTGCTTAGTTTTTATACATGAAATGTGCTATGACTGTTACACTCTGTGCACTTGACATTGTTATCTCCTGTACTTACGTTTTAATTCGGCTAAGTACTTTATATATCACAAAGGATAAAAAATATTTATTTTAATTGGAAGAGGTGAATTTTGTTTTATCAAGAGGTTTAAATTTTTATTTTTATTTTATTTTATTGGTCTTATTTTTTTTATTTTATTTTATTTTTATTTCTAGGAATCTTTTAAACTTATTTTTTTTAAAGGAGCCATATAATTTTTTTACTTATTTTATTTTATTTTGGGCAATTATTAAAAATAATTTATTTGTATTAATTTAATTACAGGCGTAATTAATCCTTGGCGAATCATGTTTTTGCTTTCTTAGCATGTGTAAGTTGGGTTATTTTCTTCTGTGAGCATATTATATATTGTGGTGTTCAAGTATGTATTTGTGATGGAGAGAATTAATTGAAAACATGTGTGTGTGTGATTAATTATGTGATGACAAAGATTTTATGATTGAATACCGATTAAAATTTTGTTGAAGAACTGTACTTATTGCTGTGGGAAGGGGTTCTTGAGTGAGCTTAACTTGATTCTTGTAGGATGCCTATCAATCTACCTTGTAAGGATACTTTAGAAAAGATGGGAATCATGGGACGTTCAGAAAAGAAAGACTATGAGTGCTTATCACTTCCTGGGGAAGATTCGTTTTCATTGTTCCTATGAGGCATATGTATTTGGAGAGAAAGAATGGTTGTTACCTGATTGTATATTTGTTTTGGATATCATAAAAATCATGCATTATGTACTTTGCATCATATAAATTATGCATTCTTTACCAGAGGAAGTCATGAACTGAGGCTACACCAGCTACTTTCCTCCTCTATGTGGTCTTATTACTAGTGTTCTATATATTTTGGATTAGGCTCACTTCAGGTTGAGGTTGATGAGGAAAATAAAAAATGTACTCCTTATACGTAATATGATGGCCGAAATAGCTCTGATCATAGTTCTGCTACTCAAAATCTCTTCATATTTACCGTAGTTGGGTATTTCATTACACAAATGAAACTCAGATTATTATCTTAATGGCTATGTAGGGTTCCCTATTAGGTAAACATTGAACAGTCATAGCAGCTATGCAATCAGGTAAAAAACATTCTTACCCTCCAAATACACCCGACTGATACAAACAATGAAAACAAATCTTGCTCACATAGTCATAAGCACTCTCATAGTCATTTTTTCTTCTAAAGTTCCCATCTCAGTATTTTTACTAGGTAACTTGATAGGCATCTTACAAGATATTGGGTTAAGCACTTAAGCTCACTATAGAACAACCCTTCTTATAATAATAAGTACAACTCTTTAACAAAAGTGTTATATCATATAATCTTTGCTATCATGTAATTAATCACATAAATATGATTCCAATTAAACTACTTTATTACACATATATACTTCAACACCAACAATCTATAATATGTACATAAGATAAAATAAATTTTAACGTGTATGCCCCTTTCTTTCCTACCAAACTCACAACATGCTAAAGATAGTAATAGTACTTGCATTGATTAGCTAATGAATAATTAGACCTTTAAATAAAATAATTACCAAAAAAAAAAAAGGATTCTCTAAAAAATATTGTTTAAAATCTCCCAAAAGAGGAGAAAAATTTCAGCTCTTTTTATAAAAATAAATATGGACCAATTAACTAAAACGAAAAATATGATTTCAAACCTATTAAACAAAATTCAGACCTCTTCCAATTAGAATAAATAACTCTGATTCTTTGATTTACATAAAGTATTTGGCCAAATTAAAACATAGGTATGGAGACTTGATTCTATTTCATTCAAGAAAGTTATTTGTCCTTGAACCTTTAAAAGTATAATGGTTAGAAGAAGGTGTTCACCATTGGCAGTTAAAATGAAAAAGGAAAGGTGGGTCAGTACCATAATCTTTGGTTTTTGGTTTGGTGGTCTGTATTTGTTATCACCCCTGTTACTCTCCTTCACATTGGCAAGTGACATAGTAGACTTTTATTTTTATTTGATTTCCCAATTAAGGAAAGCTAAGGAAAGCAACTCATTAGTTGGATCTATCCAATTGTGTACTAGCAGCTTAGCTTTGGCATTGTGTGAATATGATTTGGTAAATATGCTTACATTAGAGTAGGACAACAAAATGGGACAAACCCAAATATAGGTTCTTCGAACTTTCAGCAGGATAGACAGAGTTACCCACGCTGTTTGTTCCTTTAATCCCCCGTTCCATTTTGCAGTAGTGCAAAAATTGCGTTCCCTTCTCTCTGTCATGCTCATTTGTGATATGAATTCAATCTAATGGATTGCCTGGTGCAAAGAGTTATAGGATTTTGGACTAGATGCATCACATGCATGCTGTAACTCTTCAACTATAATTTCCTATCTCTGCTTTAGTGCTTTTGGTTCTTTTGACTTTTATAAGTAGTCTTCTGGTAGCTGAGGTAAATGATATTATTGGCTACCTTGATAACCTCCTCTTCTGTTTTCAATTTTGGCTATGTTTCTGATTAGTGACTCCACTGTATCTAGTTTTTGGTAATTTTGTATTTCTGCATCAGTTGCGTACATTTTTGTGCCCGAAGCTTACAGCTTTCTGTAAAAGCTATATTACTGTGTTGTAAAAGTTCTAGATCATGAATGCATGTGCATGGTTAATCTAAACAGAATACCATCATCTTGTTCATTACTCAGAATACATTAATTTGGCCGTAACTAAATTAGATAGAGGAAAGGTCTCAATCTCCATGAGTATCTGCAGATTTTATTGTAATTATTCTATGATATTTCATATGTTAATATTTGAATTCCAAACCTTTGAACTCAACTTGCTTCATTGTGGTGAATTCCTTGTATGGTAATATACATGTCTGAGCACCAATTGATCCACATAGGATAAAGTGAGAAAAGAACAAAATTACACTAGTATTTTACTGTGCAATATATCTATTCATTACACTGTCGAATAGGAGAGGACATTAGCCCATGAACATGGAGGATGAGACATAATTTTTGCTAGTATGCAAATAAGCCATTGTTGCATAGTACTCCGTACTTTGCAGCCATCATATTGTGAAAGAGTGAATTGGAAACTTGTCCTTCTGCCATTGTTATTCATGAGGGTTCAAACATATTTGTGACCTTATATTGGATATATGGTACTTTTTAGCTACTCTTTACATTTTTGTGAACAAGTCATAGGTCTTAAACCTTTTTAGGGACTAAAATAAGAGTTTCAAATTTTATTATATTTGCATTTTAATAGTATCAATGTACAGACATAGTTACAGATATAATACTTGATGCAGCAACATGATGCCCAAAAACAAGTGATGCAGTTTCATTTGGAAACATAATTTGCTACATGCTGAATGGCAAATACAAAACTGTTCACTGAATGACCTTTATGTAGCCGAACAATCTTTACTTAGGTGCATTTAAATGGTGTAAATCTCCTCTGTGAATCAGATCATACTATATTTGTTTGCATTACTCTATTTGTTGTGGATCCTTCACTGCTATGTACCATAAAAGTCATGCATTCTTTACTTTGCTTCTTTCCTCTGGAAGATCTGTGATTTGAATAGTTTATTTATAAACTTGTGTTGATTGATTCGATTTTGCAGAAACATTGTGTTCCTTCAATACCTGTGAATTCAAAGGATATGATGCTGATAAACAAAATGTTCGAATTGGGGAATACCTTAATCTGGTCAGACTTGAGGACTCCTGTGTTCTGGTGGAGATGAATGATGATTCTGCTAAATATGCTCCTGATCACATACAGAAATCTTACAAGGTACCGGAATAAGTTCCCCCCCACCCCCCACCCCACCCCACCCCACCCTCTTATCAAGTTGTCATTGTGAAAAAGAAAAGAGAACATTCATTCTGTTGATACATAGTTGCCACATTGTCTCAAATCTCTCTATCCCTCATAAGTCATGACATGATACAAAGTTGCCCCTTAATTTGTGACTCGTTAGGAAATCTTAGTCACTGTCATTACTATCTCTGTCCCAAAAGAATATATTGCATATCTAGTTGAGGCTTCATTGGCCAGTCCCTGAATTTAGAATCTTAAATTTTCCACCTTATCTTTCGTGATAACCATTACTGTGTTTTTTTTTTTACTGGCTGCAATTTAGTGTTGTGGAGGTGTAAAATACTTACCCAGTGAAGGATAATTTTGGTCCTTTGGAGAAAATCTTGAATATAACTCCATTCAATAGTGGTTCATTATTTAGGGGTAACATCTTAAGTTCTTAAAATGGTGTCAATTAATTAAGCTCAGCATTTTTCCAGAAGAAAATCCAAGACGTGTTTTCACCAAGAAGATGGTCAAAAGGCAAGCGAGATCAGGAGCAATTTGCTGTATGGTATGAAGATCAAAGTGGAAGGAATTTCTCTTCTACAAAGCGGGCAGAAATTCAGAAATCACAAGTTTCTGAATCCTTTGAATCAGACTGGGAACTTCTCTAGGACTGTCAAACCTAGTAAGATCACCGTAGACAACTTAAGTAGTCTTGCAGTGATGGCGCCCCCTTTCTCAAGAATTGCGGTGGTGTTCTTGTGAGTGTTAATAATCACGTATTTAAGTAACGTCCATATATACTGCTATTACAAGTTCAAGTTGAGATTCGGAAACTGAATTAATAGCTGCGGCAATTGAATAAGATTCAATTATCTCTTCCCCGAGATGCCCTTTTCTTGAAGTGATTTGTTGTAAATAAGTTCCCACACACTCAATCATACTGCTATCTACATACCAAATATAAATTCGTGGTTTTTTGGATTTCATTCTGTTTGTGGTTTCTGAGCTATAAATGTAGTATCTCATAATATATTTACTGCCAAATGCAAAAATCAGCAAGAGACAGTTAAAACCGAGAGAAGTACGAGTATTATTTAGTTTGTATGCAGTACACTAACAGGGGAACCCATTGAATCAATCAAATTCAATAAAACAAATCAATTTCTAAGAACAAATTCAAACATTGCCAAAATCACTGCTTTGGAGATATTTGGCTTTGGCAGTGCTAATAGTTTTCAACTGAACAACTTTTTACTCAATATAAAGCTATTTTCTTAAGAACTAGATATTTCCCCTGAATCATCAAAGAAAAGGGAAGCATAAAACAATCTATTCCAAGTATCGGGTACTCCAGGAAGGCACCAATGCCCACAATCAGCAGTACGCGTAAGATTATACATATTCTTTTGAGCTCGAATCTGCCAGTCCTTGTACCTGTAGATTGACGGATGTGCATCTATTCTATACTGCGACAATTTAGTAATGTCCAAGTACTTAACCTGTGATTTGCTCGACATTTCTTTGATCACGCTCTTGGTAACACGAATCAAGGATTTAGGAAACGACGACTTATAGGACTCATCCATGATGGGGTAGGTTTTAGTATAGCACCATTGATTGTACTGTGGAGATTTGTGCTCAGCCGAAATACTCCTAAAGAAAACGGTTGTTTTTGTTTGATCAACAATATTTTCGACCCATTTTGCCCATGTCTTCATTGCTCGTTTGTATGCTATGTGTAGTGGCATATCTTTTACCAGCTTTCCTCTGTATTCGAACAATTCCCAGCTGAAAATTGGAAAAAAATTGTGGGTTTAGTGCTTACTAAAAATACTGCTGACAGTTTAGAGTTCAAGTATATAAAGTATTTGGTTAGAAAAACAATGCTGTAATAATCATGATGATCATATTTTGTTTTCAGTTTTCTAGTTTTATTAGAAATTAATTAAACATAAAATGATAAAACCACAAAACATTATGTCTTATTGATGTCGTGAACCTTTTTTCATTAAGGAAATATTGACGTTCAAAACTTGATTTTATAGCTTAGACTAATTTTATTGTCCGTATTCTTTCTAAAATATATATCATAAATTAAAAACTAAAAATTGACAGTACTTACAATATTTTATTTGTGATGTTTGTCAACAAACTTACAAATCTAATAACCATTAATACTAGTATATATTGGATGATTTATAAGGAAATGAGAGTTGTTTATTTAGTTTGAAAATGTCCACTAGAATTAAACCAACAACTATGTTATTGAGTGTGACATTTATTTGTACAATACAAATAATAAAGTAGAGTCAAATTTGGTAGTTAAACTATAAAAAAGAGTCAAAATAATTTATGAATGGGTAAGATTTAAAACGGGATGAAGTAGGTTGTTAATTATTGCTTGGTAGGTCTTAACATAACATAAATTCCTTTCGTAGTTGAACATGGAGAATTTGAATTATAAACTAATAAATTTTTAATGAATGTGACTATTATTTCAATAGACTAAAATAGTATTGAACAAAAAGAGTCAAAACTTTGTAATAATAATATACATTGATTCATAAATAAGCTACTTTTTTTGTTGAGGAAGTATTAGAAGAAATTAAGTAAGCATCACCCTATAGTCCTATACAAATATGTATAAATGCCTTGCTATTCTTAAAGCCCTTCTTTATTATTTTTACAGTAGTAGTTGGTGTGAGTTGGTAAAAAAGGGGCATCATAATTCATTTATGGATTTTATGCTCAACTAAACAAAAAAATGTATACTTTATTACTTTTTCAATTCATAATAATGTGAAGTTACATGTCAACTACAAATTATATAAAATGTTAAAGGGGTTAGAAGACTTGGAACCTAGAAAGGAAAAAGAGAGTAATATAATATAGACTAGTGATGACTATACTTTATTTTTAAATGTAAATCATTGAAATTTTTTCAATTAAAAAATAATAATACTTCTTCCGTCCCTTAATACAAAGCCTCTCTCTCTTTATTATGTGAGTAATCTAATCTAATATATATATATATATATATATATATATATATATATATATATATATATATATATATATATATATATATATATTTATTTATTTAAAGGGGAGTTTTTCCCCAAGTTTTTAGAGAGCCACGTAAGATTTAATTTTCTTAGCGCGCCATGTAGGATTATAAATTTAAGTAGTAGCCAATTAAATATGAGATTATTAATGTCTTTTACAATTAAATAATTCAAATGCCATGTAAGCAAAATTAGCGAATGAGATTTTAAAGTTTAAATTAATTAAATACAAAACATTATCTTTTGAAATTAGGAATTTTATCTAATATTCTAAAACTAATATAATAACAATTTTAATCACATAAATATGAATTTTTTTTTTTTAAAAAAATACTAACAAACCGTGCATTGCACGGGCTTCATCTAGTAAATGCTAAAAAGAGGCTTTGTATTAAGGGACGGAGAGAGTAGGAAATATGATACAGATTAGATGAATGAAGTGTTTATTCCTATATATATATACCCCCTTCATTTTTTATAGATATTTTCATTTGGACTTAATGCGGGCTACATTTCATATACTGTATAGGGAGTAATTTTTTCTGTTATTATTTTAAATTTTAGGGTAAAAAAAGTATGAATAATTTTAACTATAAAAAAAATGCTTTAAAATTAACATTAAAACATCCACATAAAATGCCTTTTAAAAAAAAAAATCTATAAACAAACAAATTCGATCAAATATTCATACATCATTACCAATAATTAGAAATATTTAATAGTTTACTTTTAGTATGAGATAGTTTAAAAATTAATTACATACACACACAAAAAAATAAAAATAAATAAATAAAAAAAAAAAAAACCTAGTATTCCAAATATGTAATAAGCATATTTGTTTGAAATAGAATGACTTACGCTTTCTTTTTACCAATTTGAGCCCACCAATGTCCAGAGTTGAATACCATAATATCAGCTTTAGGCCACAACTCAGAGTTAGGTGACAATTTATCAAGCACAAGAACATTTTTGCCACTTTCATGGTGTTTGTTGAGTTCTACTAGAAATGGGCTCCAAAAAAATTCAACTGTGAAATTATAGTCCTCCTGCAAGTATACAATAAGTATAATTTATACTCGATCTATCATCTTATTTGAAATTTCGTCGTAGGACTAGGAGTTTAGTGTATGTACCGACCTTTACTTTCAAGAACGTTTTCAATACTTTCTTTTGAGAATGAACCTCGGCCTTAGATGAAGCATTTGGTATGGAGGAATAGAGAATGCACGCTAGCGACTCCCACATGTTTCGGTTTAGTGAGTCTCCTACTAAGATCACCCTCTTGTTTCTAAATCGTTCCACCATGTCTGTTCCGTTTAGCCTAGGACAAATTATGTACAATTTGTTATAAACCTTCAATTCAGTATATACGTTATAACAGAAGTTTATGTTACAATTAATATGATAAATTTTGAAAGAAAAAAGAAATTAATGTTTAATTTTCCAATAAATTATATATCATGGATGTTATGTAAAACGAAATAGATGTGCTTAGTACTAAAAATTAAGTTATACTTCCCGTAAAAAAAAAAAAAAAAAAAAAAGTTATACTTACAATGGTATGTCACAACCACTAGGCTTCCATACCCATTTTTCGTACTCGAAATCAGGCCTTCCATTTCTCTGGCAGCTCATCTTCTCTTCAAGAAACGGACAATTCATCACGTTGTAGCTCGGATCTTGATCCGGTTTGTAAACCCATCTCCCATCAAACATATTACACTTCTTCTCACTTTTCTTCATTGGCCGTTTTACAATGTTATTAACGTACATAACATTTGATTTCTCAATTCTATAAACTTCCTTTGGCTTCTCTATGGCATTAGAAGTAACATTCTTAGACCACGGGATCAATTCGGCAAAGACGCTAGCTATAGGTTGCGGAGGCTCCGAAGGCTTAACAATTATGCTCATTGCCTCAGTCGGTCCAATTTCTAGTACCGTGCTTTCAACTTCAAAAAGACGCATGTTTTGGTCATTTTCGCGAAGAAGAAAGACGAGCATCAAACAGCCTATTAAGCTACATATTGTACATATTTTCCATGTAGCCGTTACATTGGAGCTTAACTCCATAACTTGGACTTTTGAGTATTATCTGTCAAAAAAAAAGATTTTTGAGTATTAATTTTTTGTCTTGTAATTTTTAGTGTTTTAATACTATAAATATGCATATATACTACACGCATGGCAAAAATAGATACGTGTGTGACACTGCTAACTATATTAGTTATATACTTCGTATTGTAGTTGTTTATAAAGTATCCAATGGAATTAATATATATCTTTAGGGTAGGGTCAAGTCAAGTGATAATGTGATATTATTAGACGTAAGAAAATGTTATTAGTTCCTATAAAAGAAAAAAAAAAAGTTATTAGTGTATGATTGAGTTACATATGGTCAAGTAATGTTATTGGTACGTAAGTCATTTGTCGAGTGGTTATACTTTGTTCCTATATCTTAACTACTCTTATTATTATTGGATTCAGAATCTCCTTACAGTTTGCACCCACACAAATTGGATTATACAGCAAAATTTTGAACACCTAATTTTTTGTAAATAAATGAGGAAGTAGAAGATATTTGATTACAGGTCTAGGATATCCATTAAACTTTAACTAATACATAAAATGATAAAATATAGGAAAATTACTCTTAACCGTAGCTGTTTTAGGTTAAATGTCCCTTGGAAAGTAGGCTCAAATGCTGCAGTCATCTGACATGCCCACCTGCAAAACAACGAATATTACGGTTATCGAAACGTTCACCTCTGACAATCTAGTTAGTAACCGAACACGAAACTCTATTGAGAGAAAGATAAGAGAATGGAGAACAAATTTGGCTAGAGCCTTGATAAAATAACAAATGAACTTGTCCCATCAAGCCATCAATGATTGGCGTATTTATATTTCTCTAAAATTATGTTCGCTAGGGTTTTGTGCTCTAGTTTGATCACCATTGTAACATTCCAATTTATTACTATAATTGAGTTTTTCTTCTATTAAATTACCCAATTGACCCCATATTAAAATAAGTTAAATGTTTATTTTAGATGCACCTCTGTTTTTATTTATGTAATTTAATTATTTATTTACACTAATAAATATATATATATATATATATATATATATATATATATATATATATATATATATATATATATATATATATGTGTGTGTGTTGAGAAACATGATTGAATTGAACTTCACATGTGGTAATTAAAGTCAATGAAGACTTTACTAAGTACAATAATTTGTATAAAGTACAATAATGTATATTATTGTATTCAATTATTTTGGCTATATAAATGAAAGTTCACGTATTGTGAACTTAAGTTGAAAAACAAGAAAAGAGTTTTCCTACCATTCTACTACTTACTTCCTATCTTCATCCCTTCACTGATAAATATCTTACCATCAGTAAAATATTTTTAACACGTTATCAGCACCAGTTTTCAGTCAGGTATATTTATACCTACTTCTAAAAATTTATAACAAATAATACTATCTACTTCTAAATATTTCGAGGAGTATGCTCCATAGTTGCCCATATTTGGGATCCTCTATACCAGAAACTCAAACATTTACTGTATTATATATACCTCAAAAACAACGGTGAAAGTTCTCTTTTGTTTATTCATGTTGATATTTCTTTGTTTGATCCATGTTGATATTACATACTCATTTTACGTAAATTTTTATCTTAGTTATTATAATTGCTAAGTAGTAGCTTTGCATGCATATTATTATTAACTAGATTAACAAAAAGATGCAGCCTTTTTATACTTATTATTTTTCTTACTTTTACATACTTTTTGTGTTTCTTTCCGTTTTCGAACCCATGATCTTTTATAGATATTAGGGCTCTCGGACCACTATGGCTTGCATTCCCAGTGTGATAACCTTTTACAATTATAAATATATATATTTAGACCATAATTTTTGTCAGTATATTAGATTGTTATATGATATTTTTACAGTTGTACAGAACAGTAACAGATAAACCTACCTCTATAAAAGACGGATTTTTCCCCCAATTTCACCACAAATCCTTTATCTCTTCCCACTTTTTATCCAAAAATCACCTAAATTTTTTTTTTTTCACCCCCTTCTTCTCCGATATGTTCCCCGACGACGGCAACCAAAACACCCAAAACACCCACAACTTCACTTTTGAGGAAGATTTAATGAAGATAAAACAATATTTCCTTCTAATTACGACGCTTGTAATTTTATTAGTAGCAATATTAATTTTTGTCATTATGTATAAGTAAAACTCACTTATTTTGTCGTTTTAGTATATTAAAAGCTTGTTTTTGTTTTATTATGTATGTTTGTTGTTATTAATCATCATTGTATAATATTACCGTTATCATTATAATTATTGTTACTACTGTCATTGTTGTCGTTTTGCTGTTTTTTTTGCAACTAACATGATTAATTTTTGTCTAATCATATAATTACTCACAATAATAAACCAAGGGGGAGAAAAGACTATATTACTTATGGTTTATTATTATTAAATTTAATTATCACGTGTCTTATTAACTTAAATATAAATATGGAAGAACTAAACATGTGAGTTGTACATATAATTTGTTATTATAATCTAATTATCACGAAATTTGTTGTAGCTAAAATGGGAGACCTTATGAAAAGACAGTTCAGCATCTTAGATTTATCTGGAAATAAATTTCTGGAATGGAAAGTGGACGCAATGATGAATTTGAAAGCTCAAGGCTTGGAGCACACTGTTAAAGAAAATAAAAGTCCCCCTGGTCAAACAACTGATACTACCACTTCTGCAATGACGGTTGAAAAACCCATTACCGAACAAGAAAAGGCAAAAGCCTTAGTGTTACTAAGGCATCATTTACATGAAGGCCTTAAAACTGAGTACATGATGGTTGAAGATCCCAAAGAATTATGGGACTGCCTTAATGAAAGATTTGGACACCACAAAAGGGTGCTCCTTCCTAAGGCATTATTTGACTGGACAAATTTACGGTTCCAGGATTTCAAATCTGTAATAGATTACAATTCAACCATACATGAGATAGTATCTATATTGAGATACTGTGATCATCCAGTCACCGATGAACAAATGATTGAAAAAACACTCACTACCTTTCATGCAAGCAACATACTGTTGCAAGAACAATATCGTGAAAGAGGTTTTAAGAAGTTTAATGAATTAATGAGTGTATTGCTTGTTGCGGAACAAAATAGCGATCTTTTGTTGAAAAATCATAATCTCAGACCAACTGGGTCTTTGGCCACTCATCATGAGGCAAATGCAACAAATTCCTATCCACCCGAGTCAAATGCTACAAGAAGAGGTGGACGTGGAAATTACAATGGCCGTGGAAGAGGCCGTGGGAATTATCGCGGACGCGACCGTGGTCGTGGTAGAAATAATTTTCAAAGAAACAGTAATTTCAAAATTTTTTTGAAAAACAGAAGGGACAGTTATCTGGAAGCCACAAACAAACTCCTTCGAAAGGAAAAGACACATGTTACAGATGTGGCATGACAGGACATTGGGGACGTACTTGTCGAACGACCAAACATTTGGTAGACCTTTACCAGGCTTCTGTAAAAGGCAAAGAGAAAAATGCAGAAGCAAATTATGTTAATGAGGAAAATGCTCCTTGTCCCAGCCTTGATGTGTCTGATTATTTCATGGATAATGCTGAAATTGGAAATGATTTCATTCTTGGAGAAAACAACAATACTTAGGTTTCTCATCTACTAATGTAACATATGCTATGTTTTAATGTATTTTCTTAGTTCCTTGTATTTTAATGTACTTTTAATCTCTATCATCAATAAAAGTTTGTATGATATTATTCTAAACTAATCTCAAATTTATTTTATGAAGATATGGATCTACCTGAAGTTAGTTCCGAATATCAATGCCTTTTGGACAGTGGAATAACGCACACTATCTTAAAAGATAGAAATTATTTTTCACAACTAAAGTTGTTTCAAGCAAATGTAAACACCATTTTCGGGTCAGCTAAATTAATTGAAGGATCTGGAAAGACTTGTATAATGCTTCCAAATGGAACAAAATTAATAATCAATAATGCTTTATATTCGAGTAAATCTTGAAGAAATCTCATAAGCTTTAAAGATTTACGCCAAAATGGCTATCATCTAGAAACAATGACAACAGATCAAAAAGAGTATATATGCCTCACGGTAGAAAAACATGGCAAGAAACATATATATGAGAAATTGCCAGCATACTCTTCGGGGTTATATCGTATAAACATACGACCCGTGGAAATCAATATGGTATCTAACCAGAAGTTAGATGACAAACATTTGACTATTTTATGGCATGATCGTTTGGGACATCCAGCAACTGGGATGATGCAAAGAATAATAGCACATTCAGTTGGACATTCAATAAGAAATGTCAAAATTCCCCGATCAGATGAATTAACATGCTCTGCATGCTCACTTGGCAAATTAATAATAAGGCCATCTATGAATAAAATTGCTACTGAATCTCTAAAATTCTTGGAAAGAATTCAGGGAGACATATGTGGGCCAATTAATCCAGCATGTGGACCATTTCGATATTTCATGGTTTTAATTGATGCCTCTACACGATGGTCACATGTTAGTCTACTTTCAAGTAGAAATGTTGCCTTTGCAAAATTACTTGCCCAAATCATAAAATTAAGAGCACAATTTCCAGATCATACAATAAAGAAAATAAGACTTGACAATGCTGGGGAATTTACATCCCAAACATTTAATGATTATTGTATGTCAATTGGAATTGATGTTGAACATCCAGTAGCTCATGTCCATACACAAAATGGTCTAGCTGAATCACTAATTAAGAGATTACGATTGATTGCAAGACCATTATTAATGAGGTCAAGATTTCCATCATCTGCTTTGGGACATGCTATAATACATGCAACAACGCTAATTAGATTGAGACCTACAGCTTATCATAAATTCTCACCACTGCAACTTGTTTGTGGTCGAGAACCAAGTATCTCACATCTAAAAATCTTTGGTTGTGCTGTATATGTTCCCATTGCTCCACCCCAACGAACAAAAATGGGTCCATAAAGAAGGCTAGGAATTTATGTCGGGTTTGAATCCCCCTCTATAATTAAATATCTTGAACCATTGACTGGTGACTTATTTACAGCTAGATTTGCGGACTGTCACTTTAATGAAACAGTATTCCCAGCCTTAGGGGGAGAGAAAGTGGACCCACGTAAGAAAGAAATTGAACTCATTTGGAATGCAACACAACTGTTGATGTTAGACCCACGAACAAATATGTGTGAACAAGAAGTTAAGAAAATTGTTCATTTACAAAGTGTTGCAAATCAATTGCCTGATGCATTTGTAGACACAAAGAAGGTGACAAAATCACATATACCAGCAGAAAATGCCCCTGCACGTATTGAAATCCCAACTGGTAATAAGGCCATAGAAAATGAATCTCAGGCACGCAGAAAGCGTGGAAGACCACTTGGTTCAAAAGATTCTAAGCCAAGAAAATTGAAAAGATTGGATGGAATAGAAAATGAGACTAATGATGTTCCCCCGTCAGAAGGTCAAGAAAAACCAAATGTGGATGAAAGTAAAGAAAATGATGATAATCCAAAAGGGGACGAACAAGAAGACAACCCTACGGGGAATGAACAAGATGTTCAAAACATCGATAACAATGAAATTTCAATGAATTACGTCTCTACAAAGACTCAGTGGAATAGGAAAGATGTTATCGTTAATGAAATATTTGCAAATTCCATCGCAATCGACATCGTATCTGATGAAAATGATGTTGAACCAAGAACTGTAGAAGAATGTCGACGTAGGAGTGATTGGCCAAAGTGGAAGGAGGCAATGCTGACTGAGTTAAAGTCACTTGAAAAACGAGAAGTTTTTGGGAAAATAACCCTTACACCAGCAGGTGTAAAACCCGTTGGATACAAATAGGTATTTGTGAGAAAACGTAATGAGAAAAATGAAATAGTTAGATACAAAGAAAGACTTGTAGCCCAAGTATTTTCTCAAATTCCAGGGATTGATTATGAAGAAACATATTCTCCAGTGGTTGATGCAACTACATTAAGAATTCTGGTAAGTTTGACAGTCACAAAAGGACTGCAAATGCGATTAATGGATGTAGTGACTGCGTATTTGTATGGGTCACTCGATACGGAAATTTACATGAAAGTCCCCGAAGGACTAAAACTACCAGAAAACCACAAGCCTAGACAACTGCTTTCCATAAAACTAAAAAGGTCACTTTATGGATTGAAACAATCTGGAAGGATGTGGTACAACCGTCTGAGTGAATACCTTATGAGAGAAGGATTCAAAAACAACCAAGTTAGTCCCTGTGTTTTCATAAAGCGATCACAATCAGGATTCGCTATCATTGCAGTTTATGTTGATGATTTAAATATCATCGGAACCCCAAATGAACTCGAGAAAACTGCAAAATACTTGATGAAAGAATTTGAGATGAAAGACCTTGGGAAAACTAAATTTTGCCTTGGACTACAAATTGAGCACTTGAGTCATGGCATTTTTGTCCATTAATCAAACTATACAGAAAGAGTTTTGAAACGTTTCTTCATGGACAAAGCAACCCCAACCAACTTCCCAATGGTTGTTCGTTCTTTGAATATGAAAAATGATCCATTTAGACCCCGAGAAGAAAATGAAGAGATTTTGGGTCCAGAAGTACCATACTTAAGTGCAATTGGAGCCTTAATGTACTTAGCTAACAATACTAGACCCGACATAGCTTTCTCTGTGAATTTGTTAGCCAGGCACAACAATGCACCAACATATAGGCATTGGAAGGGAGTTCGACACTTACTCCGGTACCTACGAGGGACACAAGACCTTGGTTTATATTACCAACCAAAACAAGATGCTGCTCTCATTGGGTATGCAGACACTGGATACTTATCAGATCCTCAAAATGAAAAGTCACAAAATGGATATGTGTTCACTTATGGCGGCACTGCAATATCATGGAAATCAACAAAGCAGACATTGACCGCGACATCATCAAATCATGCAGAGTTGATAGCCCTCTATGAAGCAGGACGGGAATGTGTGTGGCTGAGGTCGATGACCAGTAATATCCAAAAGGAGTGTGGAATGAACACAATAACAGAAGACCCAACCATCATCTTTGAAGACAATACAACATGTATCGCTCAAGTAACTGAAGGATATATTAAGGGAGATAAAACGAAACATATTGCCCCAAAACTGTTCTTCACACATGATCTGCAAAAGGACAAGGAAATAAATATCCAGCAAATTCAGTCTTGTGAAAATCTTGCCGACCTTTTCACCAAATCACTTCCTTCGAAGAGATTTGAACAGTTAGTTCACAAAATCGGAATGCGACATCTTCGTGAACTATGCTGAGATCAGGGGGAGTATTATATGTACTGCACTTTTTTTCCCTTCGATCAGGTTTTTATCCCACCGGATTTTTCCTGACAAGGTTTTTAACGAGGCAGTATACCAAAGCATATAATACTATATCGTTGTACTCTTTTTCCCTAGCTATGGTATTTACCCCATAAGGGTTTTACCTAGCAAGGTTTTTAATGAGGAAACTTGTACCCCATTCCATGTGAACGTTCAAAGGGGGAGTGTTGAGAAACATGATTGAATTGAACTTCACTTGTGGTAATTAAAGTCAATGAAGACTTTACTAAGTACAATAATTTGTATAAAGTACAATAATGTATATTATTGTATTCAATTATTTTGGCTATATAAATGAAAGTTCACGTATTGTGAACTTAAGTTGAAAAACAAGAAAAGAATTTTCCTACCATTCTACTACTTACTTCCTATCTTCATCCCTTCACTGATAAATATCTTACCATCAGTAAAATATTTTTAACAATATATATATATATATATATATATATATATATATATATAAAGTTATCAAAATATTACTTCATTTTAATCATATACGAAATTTTGGTCTGCCTTGTTTAGAATTATCTAAGAAATCGAAATATTTATTCTCCACAAACTCCTATTGTGGACGAGAAGTCGAGAGCCATAGGCTTAAAATCATCAATCAAGGAAACATGTTTTTGTTTGATAAAATAAGTAGAAAATCACATTCTCTTTGTCGTAAGTGCAACATGGTCCCCTTTCGTTTTCGTGTTATAGACGTGAGATGTAGTAGTCATCTTCCAAAATTAATCGCTATAATGTAGTGGGCAATACTTTCTCATGTTTAATTGGGGAGCATGATGTGCCACAATTTACATTATAGGAGAAAGTATTGCCCACTACAGGTAGGGACTATGAAGGTCCATACCACCGTTGAAAAAAAAATTTCGCTAAGTGTTGGAAAAAATGTTATTTCCTATTTTAATAATGTTATTTAAGTTCTAGCCTGTTAAAATAAAATTAAATACTGTTATATGTTTCTTCAATATTGTTTTCGAGGTGTTATTTTGATCTTTTCAGTAGTTCTTATAGGATAAGTATTTGTGTTAAAAATTAAGTATTATGCTTGACTACAGTTATTATACAAGTGAAATCTGTTATTAAGGAAGACAATACAGTTATTATAAATTAGAAACTGTTAAGCTACGTGATTTGGCATCAGAGCCATACGGTTAAAAGATTAAATAAGTTGATTTAATAATTAGGTAAAACTGGAGAATACTAGACCTTCTACTGAGTGTAAGAAACCTGATTTTAAGCATTATTATCATATTCCTGAAAATACTAGTAATTTTGGCCCAGTCCTTAATTATATAGTAGATCAAATTGGTGAGTTAAGATCGGAAATTGATAACATACATGCACGTTGTATTAATATCTAGAATAAAATATCAATAACCACAACTGATATTAATAAAAAAAGTAAGCGATCTAAACGAACAGGTTAAACAAGTTCAACTTGCTTTAACAAACGAAGTTAGGCATCAAATTGGAAAAAAAGTATCGCCTAATAAAGAGAAATTAAAATTGTCCCATACAAATATAAATATCCTTCTCAAAATCTAGATAAAAATAAAAAGTTTACTGTAACACTCCCTAAAAGACCAACTAGTAACCAAGAAAAGAAAAAAGAGACTAAAGATGAACCCTCATCTTCAGGAGAAAACACTTAACGAATTACAAGTCCTATTTGTTGAAGAAGAAGACCCTAATAAGTTTAATGAAATCTTGGACTTAATTTCTAACAAAGGGATTGCTTCTGATAATAAAATAAAGGAAAATAATTATGCTACTTTAGAGGAAGATTTATATAAAAAAATGGGATTAATGAAGTTAAATGATCTAGACTTTCCGCCCGTAGAAGTTGCTCAACAAAAGATTGAAAACAAACTAGGAAAAAGAGTAATGGATAATAGTGATGTTTAAATTATTAATGAAAACATTAATGTAAACAATGTCATCCAAAGACCTAGGTATCAAGGAGAAGGAAGTTGCACAAGACCAAGTTACATACCAGGGAAGACTACCCGATTTAGTGTCAAGGTTATGCCTAATCATATACCTAAACAAGAAGAAGTGACTCTTGAACCTATAAGTCAAACTGGTTATAAACTTAAGCTAGACGGTGTAAGAGATAAACAAGATGTTTTAGATCAATGGAAGAAGAGTATGAGTAGTGTACTTAATTTAAACACTGACTGGACTTCAGAAAATTTCTTAAACTATATCGAACATAGTCTTTATGGCTGTGTAGAAGACTGGTACGAAGGAATAGAGGAAGAAGTCAAAATTGCATTAAGAGCTAGTGAATCACCTACTAGAATGTTCAGACAATTATGTCAATACATTGAGGTAGAATTCATTGGTCCTAGAGCAGATCCTAATGAAAAACGAATGGAATATCAAAGGAAGTTAAGTAATTTGTCCATCTGTAATATGAAATATGTTGATGATTACATTATGGAATTTGAAACATACTATTATAAAATTGGTGAAAATGAAACAAATCTTGGAATGTTCTATGAAAAATTACCTAGTCCTCTTTAGTGCATTCCTTTAACCGCATTTAGTGCCCCTCAAGGGCATTATGAATGGCTAGTAATGCCTTTTGGATTAAAAAATGCTCCACAAATATTTCAGAGAAGAATGGATAATATTTTTAGAGAGCTTAATCATCGTTGTTTGGTCTATATAGATGATATCCTAATATTCTCAAAAGATTTAGAACAACATAAGAATGATCTTAAAGCAGTAACTCAAAAATGTGCAGAGCATGGTATAATCCTTGGAAAAGATAAATGTATTTATGCTAAACAAGAAATTGAGTTTCTTGGATTAGAAATTAAAGTAGGGCAAATAATATTGCAAAAACATATTTTAGAATAGATTGAAAAGTTTCCTGATAAAATTGAAGATAGAAAGCAACTAGAAAGATTTCTAGGATGTTTAACCTATGCTTCTGATTTCATAGAAAATCTTTCTCTATTAAGAAAACCATTACAGAAAAAACTCAAGAAAGAAATAACTTGGAACTGGAAGGAAAATGATTCCAAAATTGTTAAAAATTTAAAATCTATGTGTATAGATCTTCCTGTACTAACACTACCTACTAGTGAAGATGATTTAATCCTTGAAACAGATGCTAGTAATGAGCACTGGAGTGCTGTGTTAAAAATAAAAGAAGGAGAAAGACTTTGTAGACATAGCAATGGAAGTTTTAACAAAGTTGAGTTAAACTATCCTACAATGCAAAAGGAAATCCTTGCAGTTATTAGAGGGATCGAGAAGTTTTTAATCTTCTTAGCCCCTAAACAGTTCTTAATAAGAACAGATTGCAAAGGCATACTCGGTTAAGTTAAAAAGAATTTGTCTAATATGCAAGCGCAAGGGAGACTCATGCGTTGGCAATTATGGCTTAACCAATTCTCTTTTACTGTTGAACATATACAGGGAACAAAGAATTCTTTTGCAGACAGCTTGACCAGAGAATTAGCTAATGTCGTCCAAGAAGCTCAAGACTACACAAAAACCTCCTGCATACCAACTTCAAAAGATGGATGTAGAGAGGAAAACTCTCATTGATGAGACCGAAAAAGCAATGGAGCGGGTTTCACCCTCCAGTTTGGCCTTAATGCAAGGCTTGGTCATATCGGAAAAACAACGTTCGCGAGACGGTTTAATTAAGGGTTGCCATCGGGCAGTCCAAAAGGTTATTGATGTTCAAAATAACAATTATGTTATTTCAGCTCATTCCTGATGTACGAGATACAATATTAAACAAAATAAGAGATAACGATTTTAGGACATGGTACGAGTTGGTGGTTACAAGGTCCAATAAATTCTTTGATCTTCGAGATCTATGGGGAGAAAGAGTAGAATTTCCCAAAAACTCTAAAGTTGCATCATTACTAATCTACCCATATCCTCTTGATAAAGATGCTCCATTCATTAGTATACATTACAAGGCTTGGGATTATGGAATGGTACATGATTTCTATGAAATCCCTATTCCTAATGACTCTTTCTTTCCAAAACTTACAAAGTTCCAGCAGTACGCATTCAATAAGGTTTAAAGATATTGTGATGACAAAAAAGACAAATTTCAGTTAAGAGTAAAGGTACAATGTGCTAATATCGAAGTTAAAGAAGGAAAAGTTAGTCCCCCGCATTACTTGATAATATTTGGGGAAGTGAGGTATTGCAAAGACCTCATACTAATTCGTCAGAAGACTGTTAGAAATCCGACTGAAGCAAGAGCACTGGGATTTTTCTACATTTCACAATATCTTAACGATTTTATAAAAAGGAAAGAAATTCCTCTTGTCATGTTTCATGTTGGTAACACAACAATTGTGGCGCCTTACAAGATGAAAGAATATTTAGTAGATGGCATAAACAACACCGAGTCAATCTACAAATATTTGGAAGATATAGAAAGAGGAAAGTTTTTGTCATTTGAAGGCTATGAGTATCTGTTTGAAGCATTCATGAGTTGGGATGAAGAGTATGCAGCCAAATGTGTTGCAGACCTTTGCAGAGAGAATCCTATGTACGAAGACAGTAAAGATAGTGAGGGAGGTCTACAAGAGATGATGATGTATGAAATTATGAATGCTTGAGCCCACGCCAGCAATAATTCAAGGCATCTTTACTGTAGCCACGTTTAATTAATTGTTTCTATCTTAAAATATCTTTGTAAAAAGCAATGGTGTAGAATTGCTTGCTGAGTCAGGATAAGGATCCTATGTAAGTTTGCTTCCCTATATAAAGGGACTTAGGCTAAGAAGTGAAGGCAGAGTTGGAAGAGTTAGCTAGAGAATTGCTCTGGAAGCATTAGAAAGTCCTCTAGAGAAAAATACTCACCTTAAGAGACAGATTGGTTCTCCATCTCTCTTAAAGTAGAGAAAACTCTAGTTCAGCTTATGTCTGTTTAAGCTTTCAGTTTGTGTGAGTGTTGTAATCTTTTCAAATTAAATAAAAGTTTCGTTCAAGAAGGGAACGTTATCCCCTTGAACCTTATATATCAAATGAGTTATCTTTCTGTTTAAAAAGTTCCATCATAAACACAGTAATGATTGTCTAATTAGAGATTACGGTCTGAGGTAAGAAACGAATTAGATCTGTGCTGAGACTAATCTAAGGAAGACAGGGTTGGGGTTAGCTACCTTGGTAAAGCCGGAAGCTCAGAACGCCGAAGGTTCCATTGTTGACTAAGTTCAGGTATTGGTCAAAACTCTCTAGTTAAAGAACTATTATTGTGAAGCATGGTGGGCTTTTAAACTGTTAAAATAATTTATTTTGATGTATAAGTAGTAGAGTTGTGATAACTAGTACCGTTAAAAGTCATTTAAGTAATTATCAGAGCGAATTATAGTAAAAATCAGTGTATTATTAAAAACTGTTATTTTAAATTAAGGTACTGTTATTAATTTATCAATTACTGTTATTAAGTCATTAAGTACTGTTATTTATCCTAAAAAAAAAATCTAACGTCACTTGGTATTGGGCGGGGTAGCCCATACCGGGTAGCGGTCCATCATTCCCCATTAAACATGCAGCGAAGTTGAGAAGTGAAACTAGTCACTAGTGAGCAGTTTTATTTTATTTAATTAGAGAAAGTTTTTTTTTTGTTTTTTTTTGGAAACATTTAACGCAAGTATTAAATGCAGTACAAAATAACCTAAATGCAGAAATTAATTAATGATATGACAATAATAAAATGACTGAAATAACCTTTTCCAAAATGAAAAAACTAATTTGCCATTTCACCAAGATTTTTTTTTTTACATTTTTTATTTTGCAATTCATTATACTTGCCAATTTTTTTCATTTCATTCACAATTTCAGTCACTATTTTTTTTTTGCAATTCATTTTATTTCACCATTTCCCTTAAAATTCTTCAATATGAGCCCTAGAGACGAAGAAGTCGTTCACCGCTCATAAACCATTCGGTCTTAGGTTTTTTTCGTTTAATTTTTTTGTTGAATTGTTATAATTTTTCATTATAAGTACCCCGACTTAGTTTTTCGGGGGTATTTGAGACCCCCGAAAATCTTAGCCGGAGGGTACTGAAGACCCCCGGAAATCATAGCCGGGGGTATTGGAGACCCCTGGAAATCCTAGTCGGGGGTACTTGAGACCCCCGGAAATTGTATAAGGGGGATGCTAGAGACCTTCAAAAATCTTAGCCGTATTAGATGGTAATTTTATGTTGTTTGATTGTTCATCTATTACAACACATAATTTTCATACCTCAAAAAAATGTCGTAGTGCACTTCATTATTGTCTAGGAATTGTATAGTATTGAATACTCCGTATTAAATAGGATACAAGATTGAATACGTTAGAATATGGTTGTAAATTAAACAGTTGGGATGATTATATAGTTAGGAGTTTACAGGATTTAATTTTAATCATTTAAAAAAGTGTAAAGGATTAAGTTAAAACAAGGACAAAATTGGAATATAATTTTTTTTAAAAATAACTTATTCTGCATTTAGGTAAAATTGTCCTGCATTTAGTACTCCCCATTTAACGCAAGTAGTTATAAACGGATCACATCGATCAATTTTGATCGTACCTGGAAAAAAAAAACCGCCTTTGGTACAGACACAAATTTGTATAACTCAATTTTGATATAACCTATCTAATCCAATCTCACTGCATGCAACCCAAATATTAGATTGAAACCTCTAATTTTATTATTCACTTGTTTTCCTAATTATTTTTGGAAAAATTGCTCTCATTAATCTGAACTTTGCCTCGTCCGCCCAAATTAATCTGTACTTTCGATTATTATCTATCACTCCCAACTTTAGGGGGTATTAATTTTTATTGCACCCAACACGTCATCCAACCTGATGTAGCAGGTTACCTAGACATGTGTCAGCGTATAATTGTCTAAATTTTTTTTAAAATAAAAACAAAAAACAAAAACCCACAAACCACCCATGCCCAGCCCGGAAAACACAACACCCCCACCTCCAAGCCGCCGGAAAATTGGCTCCATCCTCGAAAACCCCTCCCCCGCTGCTGGAAAACGCCGCCCAGCCAGCCCTTCCCTTCCCCACCCCTGATAACCCTTCCCCCTCCTGCGAAAACCCCTCCCCACCCTCAAAAACCCCTCCCCAGCAACCTAACCAACTGCGAAAACCCCTCCCCTCCCTCGAAAACCCCTCCCTAGCAGCCCAACCACCTGCGAAAACCACTCCCTACCCTCGAAAACCCCTCCCCAGCATCCCAAACACCTTCCCCTTTGAATTCCTCCCCTTTTCCCTGTCGAAATCGGCATGAAATCAGCTCCATTCAGCCACAAATTCGGCCACATGCACAAACGGCCGAAATCGGCCGGTTAGGTATTCAGCCCCAACATTGGCCATTTTCGTCCATCGATGGTGGTGGTATGGTGTGCGTCGGTGGTGTTCGTGTTGTGGTGGATGTGGGGTAGCTGCTAGGTTGGTTTAAAGATATTTTTTTTAACATTTTTTTTATTTTCTCTATTTTTCTCAACCAATTACATATTGACACGTGTGCAAAAAAAATAATT